TTCAATTTTTTCTTTATCTGCAGGGTGACTGTGATCATTAATTATTTTAATTAATTGATTATTTAAATTTTGTATGAAGTTTTGCTGAACAATTATTAAATGTACATTTCCAATATACAGTCATGATGATAGATTTTTTTGTTATATAATAGATATTTTTCCGAGTATTTTTTTGTTAATTTCTAGCAGATATTAATTAATATTGTTACAGATACAAACCGATAGAATAATGAGAAAAGCAATAATAAATTATCGACGTCTTAAGTTAGCATTTACTAGACACATTATCTTATGTTTTTTTTTTGATACTCTCTAGTTTCGACATCATACCAATCCATCAAGCTTAAGTTGTACAAGAAGATTTTCGTTTCCAATGAATGTTCTTTCTTTTTTCTTTTTAAGTATATTCTGTAGCATCTATTGAATAATGAAACAAGAATGTGTATGGGATGAACAAGATAATATATCGATTCAAATCAGAATTTTGAATGACTGAAAAGCTTACCAATGTGTATCCATTGATAAAACGAAGATTTTATCGGTATATTTCAAGCAAAGAAGGATAAGATACACCTTAACTCATAGCAGTTCCTCTAGAACTGAAATGTGAAATTTGCATATTTCATATAACCTAACAGATAATTTATTATAGATTTTTTTTATGTAATGAAATAATAACATGATTATTGCATCCCACACAGTTGCATCTCAGCAACATTCGCTCCTCATGAGCACAATTTCGGGAGTCGGATGTGAGTCTTCCTTTGGTAACATTCACACCTATCTCAGTTCCAGTTTTTTGTTACTGCTTCGCATTGCTTTTCTTTTTAAATTATTTTTTGATATGATTAAATTGTTGTGGATTCTTCAATATATAGAACTAAATAGAACCTTGATTAGTTTATGATAAAGAATCCATTTTCTTTTTCATAATAATAATAAATAGTTCATTTTAAAAAATCAATATAACAAAATGTCAGCATTTTTTATATTTAACATACTCGTATTATATAACTTGACTAATTTCACTGTACTAGTTTTCATCGTAACTCAGAAGCTTTAGAAATATTTTTATTTTTATTTTCAAATACATCTTCAATATCGAACTTGTCTTTTTAATTATAATTAATTTATGAATTTCTTTATTAAGAATTTAACACCATCACAAATAATCATGATCGTATTTTTAGACAAATTAAATGCAAACATAATAGATCAATAGTTAAATAACTGGCATATATATATCATACTATATCTTTTATTGAAACAAATTCTTTCTAATCAAAAAACCTAATCAAGCATCGCACTACAAAAATCATTCTGTGCCTAATACAAAATATTACTAATTATTTTCGATTTATCTAATACTTATATAAATTATAACATAGTCTTCTTTATTTTTAAACTTTCTTTTGACATAAATGAATTCGTGTAAAATTCACAAAACACAACCATTCAAATTCATTTTGGATTTTAAAATAATTTTTTTTTCTGTGCTTGTTTCTTTCTTTGATTTCGATCGAAAAATTACTATTGTATATTATCGACGTATTATATACAACACCATACATTCAAACATGGACATAAACGACTATCGTACACGATTGTATTTAGTCGTAAGTCCAATTGCACTTATTGAGCACATAGATTTTTCGTTTTAAATTCAGCAACAAGTATAATGATAAATATTTTTATTTAGATTTATTCGAGCAATAGATAAAACAGCAAGTAATCTTTTTTTCAAAAAAGAATAAAATAAAATTTCGTGTTTTAAGGCCAGAGGTAGAACGTTCCTTCCTCTTGAATGAGAAGAATACCTGAATACGATAGCATATGAAGAAATATTGTGATCGTACCAAAAGATATGGTAGAAATATTTTCATTTCGTATAAAATTTTTAAAGAAACTTTTTCTCTATATGAACTGATATTATAAACGACATTGTGCTATTACATCATTCTTCAACCAATATTCTAATAATAAAGTTTTGATAAGAGCTATTTATTATGATATGTGAAGATAATATTACATCATATTTGTCTTCGAGGTATATTTTCTTCTCTTTTTTTTCTCCATTCTCTCTATGATACCTACCCATTTCTAATAAAAGATCATATATTTATAAGCATGTTTTCAAATTATTTTGAATCGAAAAACATGATTATAATGCTACATGCATTTGATTCTCTGGATCTGACATCATGTGACTTTTAGTTATTTATTTTAATCAAACAAAATCTAAACGATTCAGAATCGTTATATCATACTGTAATGAACTGCATGACCTCTTTAAATAAAGTAAAGCATAGAAAAAAGTTCGATAAATGGGTTGAATAAGTGCAACGGCTTGTGTATAATCCTGGCAATTATTTCACTCTACTATATACGGACGGTTAGACAGTAAAGGAAGCAAAAAAAAAAGAGAGACGAAGATCGAGGGGATACACGTCGAAGACAAATATAGTCTAACGGAGGGAGAGAAGTGATGCATAACTTCTACTCAATATTTTCTTCTAAAATGTATGCAAATTTTACAAAACAAACTTACTTAAGACAAATTTCATAAAGTCGTTTTCCAATATCACTTTGAATATTTTGTACTGTATCACGAAGCATTTTAGCAACAGATTGACCACGTAATGATTCAATATTAAAATTATTTGTTGATGTTGGAAAGATCATAAATGCAACGACTGTTACATCAGAACCACATGACTTTAAAAGATAATGAATTTAAATAAGAAGAATATTTTTAAAAATTAGAAATTCTTACTTTAAGCATATGATTTAATCGAGCCAATGATTCAATAAACATATCGGCACCTTTATTTGAAAATTCATATCGGCCAGCAATAAAAAAATATAATGTTTTATCCAAATCAAAATCATAATGTCTAAATAAAAAAAATTCAATTCTCAACTGAAAATTTTCAAAAAAAAAAAAAGAACAAACTAAACGAATTTGCAAAACAAAAAAAAAACAATTTTTTTTCTCTATCTCTCTCTACCCTAAAAAATGTCCTTGTACAAAATTTGTTATTCTTTCATGTGATATAATTATTGGATCTAATGACCACATCGAACGTGGTTTACGTCGATATAATTGAATATTAAGTCCATTTGGCGTTAAAATATCTAGATATAAAAATAAAAATTTACCCGTAAAAATGTCCACGTACAAATGCATTGAGCTTTTCTTTATTTTGTGCATGTAAATTTTGAAATTCATGCAATGCAGCAAACGTTTGAACATTAAGCCCATTGGGCGTCAATATGTCTGATAGCAAAATATGAAATAATAATAATAATAGCAAAAAAAATAATAATTTAGCAGAATGATTTTTTTTACCGGGTTTTTTATTTAATAAAAATTCTGATTCGATACCAGTTATTTTTGAAACAGTTGTAAATACATGTGCACATGATGCAGCAGCACGTTCAATACAATAACGATGATATATTTGACGATCACCAGCTTCTTTATCAAGATCAAACTATGATGAAAGAAATTGTATTGAAGATTTCAATGAAAATATTCATACATAGCTTAAGTGATTATAAAAATCAGTTGCACCAGCACATAAATATCGTCCTAATAGTGTTGCATGTGTTGTAAATATTAATCCACAATCATAATTACGAAGACGTGTCATTACAAGACCAATGCCGGCCAACCATTCATGAAAATGAGCAATAACATAACATTTTTTTGTTCGTTTTAATTGTTCGATAAACTTAAAAAACAAAAATTATCATAATATGTATATATCTGTTTGTCATTAAGAAATATGCAAAATACTGTGAGGTCTATTCTTTATGGACGACTCGTTAATTTCTGCCATCTTTATTTCTGTATACTGAACATGCGCATTCTTAAATATTAGCGATCTAATTTTTGAATAATTGCTATACACATTATGTTTCTCATTTTAACTTACCGTTCCGATAAACCAAAAAACACAAAAACCAAATATTAAAGCATCATTTGACTCTCGATCATGATATGGAATACCAATATGAGCATATTCAAAAAAGTCTCCTTTCCAGCCATCTAATCGATGAGCTGCGGAGCCAATATCAAACAGAACAACTTCAGGAAAACCTTCAATCAACCAATTGCCCGTTACAACCTATAAGATTTTTCGTAAAAATAAAAAAACATAATCGTTTTTTGTTTCGATTTCTAACAAACTTACATGAACACCATAACGTCTCATGTCATTAACTGTCTCACGTATAGCCTCATTTTTTGATTCACTAATTTCAACTTCAGTTTTAACAAATGAATCATTATATGGACCCAAACAAATATAATTATTTCCATATTCTTTTTTTGTTATAGGTACTTTTGACCGAATAACAGTATAAATTCCACCAACTAAAAATTTATGTATTAAAATACAAGAAAAAAAAACTAATTCTTTAAATTCTTTTTTACCTTTGTTAGCTACTTCCCATGATACTTCTAAAAGCCATTTATTCATTAGTTCAGCTGTTTCACCATGATCCAAACATTGTTCAAAGTGAATACCTTGAAATGTTTTTAAAGATTTGGCAGCATTTTTAATTTTTGATATCGACATGATTTATTAGATATTAGCTAATACATATAAATTATATACTGGATATACACAGATAAAATTTCTATTGTTGATAAGATTGTAATCAAATGTAAAATAAAAAGAAGAAAAAAAAACGAAATAGTTTATAATACTAGAATATCTAGAACAAAAAAGAAAACAAGTTACCTAAAAAACAAAAAAACATAAAAATAAACAAATATTTTATTTATTTAATTATATCTCGACTTTGGTTTACTCTAGAACCATCCAATTACTAACGAACATCTTTTCCAGGCATCTATGTACAATATTAAGCCAAGAAATGTGTTGAATGCCAATGAGTACACTATTGAAAACGAAGACTTATTTCAAGTGACTCGAATTCATTCGACAAACAATAACAATAAAATTATTTTAACAACGAAAAACACTTGCTAATGACTCTGGCTTTCCGATCAGCAATATTTTTTGCAAAAAAATATTCTAGATGAATGTAGATGTCGTTAGATATTGAACATGTTGATTAATCTTACGAGAAAACTACCCAAACTGACACCAACTGTTTGAACTCATATATGATTCACAAAGAGATCTCAATAAGATTAGAAAAGTCAAAAAAAAAACAATTCATGCACATGGACCTCTGTAGCAAAGTTACGACCATTTTACTGAATTTTCAATCGAGATTTAGGTATTTACTAAAAAATCAAATAATTGAATTTTCAATCTGAAATTTTGCTCATAGATAGGTTTGATAACTCGGGGAATATCCTGAAAGTTTCAGCTGAAAAAAAGATTCCTTTATCGAGATATTAAATTTCTAAAAAAATTATCGTTTGTCACAAAAATCTTGTTTTACTTGAAAATACAATATCTCAGCAAAGAAATGTTCTTTTCGAGTGAAACTTTCAGGATATTCTTAGAGTCATCAGATTTCAGTAAAACAATCATAACTCGATTTCAGAAGTTCATGAACACGAATCCTTTTAATGTTTTTCTAGTCTTACCCACGCCTCTTTGTGAATCCAATATAAGCTGAAACAGCAAGTATAATTTCGAGCAATTCCCTCGTTAGTGTTCTATCATTTAGAGATCAAAACATCCTAGCAATAGAATATATCCGTTATGGGGATACATTAATTTTTTTCTCTACTCAAAAAAAAACAAGATCTTTATGGACGATTCAAGTTAAATGTCTATCGGTTAGAGATTTAAACTACATCTTACAAATTTTTATTCTCTAGACTTCGGAATCACAATTATAAAATGTACGGAATATTGTTCTGTTCTACTCTTGGTACATGAGAATTTCAAATTTATCAATTGATGATTCCAATTTGATATAGATATTATCTATAAAACTGTTTGTCTATGTTCAAATAAAAATAATGACGTAAATATTCAATGAATGAACTAGAAGTTTTCGTATTTATACGATAGTTTTACTCATGTACTATACCATCATATCGATAATAAATTAAGTCAATGAATTTGTGCCTAATTCTAGTGAATTTTTCGGCTGGAAAGTCATTGTTTCCTGCAGAAAAATGTTCGAATCTTAGAAACATAAATACGATACCCGAAATCTGGTTGCCAGCTTGTTTATTTTCTAGTTACAATTATACATAATCAGATGTTAGATCTAGGCATCGTATTTATGTCCATTGATATATTAGACCATATTATAAAATTTTGATCAAATACTATCAAGTATCATTTCCTGTTATTGATTGTTTGTGAAATTGTATTGATTATATTTGATTTTTTTTCCGATGAGATTTTTTTTCATATTTTATTTTTTTTTAATACAATTGACTATTGGACAAACATACATGTAAAGACAAGTAAAATATTTACGTTGGTGTATAGTGATTTCTACGCCGATACTTTATGACACGTTGAATTAAACTAAAAAATTCTGGTCGATATTTTGGTGATGGTAAAACAAATATAAATAGATTAAACATAAGTGGAACCAACGAAAGAAAATAAGCAGCAATATAAGCTGTATTTTGCCATTGTAATTTAATACAAGTTAAATAAAATGTAAAGATAAAACGTGGTGTATTAAGAATAACAAGAATATAACAACTAATGATTGTATGTTTATAAGTAAATATAACATTTTTTAAATTCATCCAAATTGAAAGATTTTTATTTAATGTTAATTTACTTTTTGTTAAAGCCAAAATCCAAATCATAGGTAAAATTAAATTAATAAAATAAGGCAAAATAAAATATAGATTAGTTATCCTTTGATATGTAACAATTAAATGACTAGGAAATTTCAATATACACCAATATCGATTTAATGAATAAATTACTTGACGATAGAATGGTTCATAAAGTATACTAATAAAATGATATAGTATTAATATAGGTATTATCAATTTCGCTAATCTTCGACTA